GTTCTTGCCCACCTGAATCCTTCATATTGATATCCATTTCCTAGGTCTAGCCTTTACAGTAGTACTATCATAAATCCATATTACCTTTCTGCTCAGAATTTCCAAGTGGGCTTTAGCTTCCCAGTTCTACAGATTTATACAGCCTAAGGACTTATTTTAGGTTTGCACCATACGGTACTGGTTTGCATTCCTCTGTGTAACAGGTTACACAGATGCCCAGATCTGTCAGTCATGCTGGTGCAACCATAGTTACAGGTATCCTATCTCAACTGATCGACAGAATACTGTCACCATAATACTGTCTATATATTACATAAGTGATTATCCAAATTTTGCCATCGGTGGGTTTTAAACTCACAACCTACTACTTGGGAGTATGACAACTTATCCACTTCACTAAGTTGCCACATCCTTATTTTTTAGTTATTAAAGTTTTGAATAAAGATATCCTAACTACTTTACAATTAAATTTAATATTTTTTTTAAAAAAATTTATAAATTTATAGAATTTAAATAAAAAAATAATTATTAATTTAATTAAATAATTGTTGAGATATTTTTAGTTAAATTTTTAAAAAAATAGTATATTTATTTTAATAAACAGTTTAATTTTCTTTAATTTTAAGTGAAAATACTAACAATTGTTTAACCAAATTTGATTTTTTTTTTTATTTGAATTATATAGATATATAGAATTTAAAACAAAAAATTTAATAAATTTAATTAGATAATTGTTAAGATATCTTTATTCAAAGTTTTAAAAAACTTTATTTTTTATTGTAAGGTACAAATAACAAATATAAAGTATAAATACCAACTTTTTAAATTTAATTAATTAATTAATAAAATCACAGAACTTTCTATAGATTACTAAAATGCATTAAAAACATAACTTCATTTTAGTAGATCCAAATTTGAAACTTTTGCTCTAGAGACTTTTGTCTATACATGTTAGACAAATCTGAACAAATTTTAAACTCTTAAAAAATAATTGCTAATTATAAAAATTAAATTAAACAAATAATTCTAAAATTTTATAAATATCTTGTTATAAAAATATACTTGATTTATTTAAATAATAATTATTAATAAAATTTTTAAATTATGAATTTGCCCAGACCCTTACTTAAAGTGAACAAACTCAAAGGATCTGACCAAATTTATAGCTCAAAAATTTTATTAATAATTATTATTTAAATACATCAAGTATATTCTTATAGCAATATATTTATAAAATTTTAGAATTCTTTGTTCGATTTAATTTTTTATAATTAGCAATTATTTTTTAAGGGTTTGGGATTTGTTTAAATTGTTCAACATGTATACTCCGTTGGACAATCTACGGACAGTTCTTAGAAACAGTTCAATTCACTTGAATAACTAGTTAGAATCAGTTAAGATTAGTGGTTTTAGTAATATTACGTAAATCGCACTGTTCCTAACTGTTGGTAAGAACTGTTCGTAGACTGCATACTTCCGTCTGTTCACGCACGTGACCATATATAATCACGTGCTAATGCTAGGATATTCAGGATTATGCATAATTCTGGCTGAAATTTGGCCGTCCACGTGACCATTCATTTAAATGATGGGAAAGTCTACGGACACGTACAAGTCACTTGAAAGCACACGTACCTTAAACTAAGATCGGCAATTGGTACGTGTCCATAACATTTAGATAGGTTAGGGTCATGTGACTGGTACGTGTCCGTAGACTTTCCGTAAATGATTGGACAATTTTGTTAATTCGCTCCGGATTTACAACAACCCTGTTTTCTAGTACAGTCAGACCTCTCTATAGTCACCTCCTCTATAGTCACATTTGCTTATAATCAAATAAAATTTTAACACTTATAAAATTTAACCTTTATATAGGTTTGACTGTATTATTTAAATTTATCAAAAAAATATTTGATTTTTTAACTATATTAGTAAAATGGATTAAAAATGCCTCAACATAGTTTTGAAACTACACTATTCATATGTCATTTGCAAGTTACAGAATTTAATTTGCTCTACTAGAGCAGGAGTTAGAACGTTTTGAAGATATGTGATTTTTATAATAATTACTACAGCGAATTTTTTTCGACAAAATGATCGACAAAAATTAAAATTTTAATTTTTTAAATAAAACTAACATTCAAATAATCTAAACAAAGTTGAGTAATTAGCATTTCATCCTGTTGCTAAACTTGTTAGAAAAGTTAAGATATCGATATCAAAAAAAAGGAATAATCCTATTAATAAAACTTATTAGTTTTGATAATGTTTTTTAAAATGATTAAGTGCTCACATATTTTATTTATTTGTACTATTTTAATTTTGTAATTATTAGATCTTGAATTATGTGAAAACAAAAGCCAAATAGAACCAAAGAAATTTCTCAATTGTTGAGAGTTTTTTGTGTCGATACTTTAGAAGCAATACTTTTCAATATATAAATCACATATAGTAAAGGTAGATTCACACAATACCATTCGAAAATTGCATTAAAACACTTCACATTCATCAAACCTAAAATTTGCAATAATACGTATTCACATAAATTTATTTGTTTTTTTTTTTTGTTTTTGAAAAAAACTTCACATAAATATTTCTTTGGCTTTTACAATGGGGTTCACTATACATATAAAAAAAAAAAATACTATACAATGAAAAAAACACCATAAAGCCTTCAATAAAAAAAGTAATTTATATTTTAAATTTATATTAAAAGTTTGTGTGTTAAAAAGTTTGTTTAAAATTTGTGTTATGTATAATCTTTTATGTAAATAAATAGACAGTTTTGGCAAAATGACAGCATTTGACAAAACTATAAATATATAAATCAAGATCATGTATGAATCAATTTGCAGCAGGAATTGGAGGAAGAGTTTTGTCAGTAACGTACATCCGAGAATGAGATTTTGAACCGGGTTGAAAATCAGATGTTGACATGTTACGACGAAGTTTCTGTTTATGCCATGAAGGTTGGCCATGTGATATATTTCCTAATTCATCGCATCCATCGCATTCATCGCCGTCGACAACAGAAGCACACGGATATGATCCTGGCATTTCCATAATTTTTGGAGTCGAGACCAGACTTGCTGAATTTCGGCGACGCGCGAGTACGCGACGGGTGATCTTTGCCAAAGACAATCGTGATGAGACAGAATTTGTACTAAAGGAAGATATTGTGGACGGTGACGACGATGCAGAATCAGTAGATACTGTAGAAGATCTATTGCTTTCCGGAGGATCTACATTAGTAGATGTAATATTGAAACTCGAATTTGACCTATTTTCATGAGCGAATGTGCTATTAAAACTCGAATTTGATCTATTTTCATGAACTAATATGGTATTAACACTTGAATTTGATTTATTTTCTTGAGCAACAGTGATATTAAAACTAGAAGTTGGCTTATTTTCTTGAGCCATTATTGTCCGAGGAATTTGATCCATTAGTAGGGGTATAGGTGCAGAGATAAGGTTTTTATTACATTTTGGGGATTGATTATCTGTAGTTGTAGAGTTCAACTGAAGTCCAGAGGACATATTCACTTCACTAACTGCAGTTTTAAGAGTTGCCAAGGTTGAAGCCATTTTTGCTCGAAGAGAACCAGAGGAAAGCGATCTCCTCGGACCAAAAAGTGGTTTCTGAGCTGAGGATGGAGGCTTAAGATGAGAAGGTATTGAAGAGTTTGAAGATGAAAAATTTTCGTGCATCACCGATTTACGCAAAAATTTTGGAAGGGAATCCTGAACCATAAGGTCAAAACAATGTTGTTGAAGTTTATCAAATATATCTTTTGTAAACATTTTTGAATCTATTTTTTGTCTACATTGATTTGCAAGATCCTGTGGAACATTTAAAGGTTTTGACGATGTGTCAGAATCTAAATAATAATTCCATATATATTTAGCAGTTGAGCTTATCTCTCTAACATCATTAATTATATCAATCTCAGATGAAAAAAGTTCACGATATTGTACAACATCCATGTAAAAGTCCAAATTTTCTTCACAATATTGAGATTTTAAATACACCTGAAAGTTATTTCTAGCATCTTCATTCTCGATTATTTGCATCAAACGTATTCGACTAGATTCAGCATTTGAAGTTCGACCATTGTTTACTATTGGAGCTCTCTTAACAGCAATTTTACGTTCATTTGTGGTCCCAAATATGGCATCATCTGGAGGTGAGATGACTTTATTTCTTTGAGCCACAAGGTCACCTAAACCAGAATCACCAGTAACTTGCCACTCGAAAGCGGGCAAAGAAGTTGGTAACTCGGACTTGGCTCGAGGGTTGGTTTTACCCTAAAAATGATAATGTATGATTACCGAAATACATAATAAAAATATAATAAAATAGTATACATATATACATATTAATAACATACTTCTTTCCTTTTATCTAAAAGTTTTAAACTGAGTTTAAGCATCAGAACTTAATAATTGCCAAAGAGAAAAAGAAAACAAAGAGATTATAAAAAAAGAAAAAAAGGAATGAAAAGAATGAAAAAAGTTAAGACAATTAAACAGCCCGCGAAAACGTAAAGTACTTTAAAACACGATACATGATGTAAGTAAACAAAATGCGCAAGGTTATATTGGAAATGTTTTAATTTAACATATTTAAATCATTTAGCTCAAAAGATTTATTGTATGCAAATGTGTAATGCATGCGATTTACAATAAACTAATAAAATATGCAAGGAATTATCCAACCAAAACAAGAATACAAAGAAAATTGAATATTACCTATATTAAACGCATGTAAGTGGTTTACTCTGGTGGTAACTGGTTACGAACGTGCCGCCCAAATCAGATCACAAACATGAAATTTGGCGATCTATGTGTTATTATCGTTAATAAAATTCTACCTAGGATCTTAACGATTTTCCGATGTTTATATGTTTATCAATAACATTATTTTTAAGTGATGCAAACAATATTAACGTCATTAAAAACTATGTTATTAAAGCATATAAAATATATAAAATGAAAACCTATCAAATTTGACATGACTAAACATTAAATATCTTGTTATGCAATAAAAGGCATTGTTCAAATAATCTTTTAACGACTTTCCAAAATTCTTATCAGCGTCGATTATGTACAAGCATAAATTCATGGTAAATCTGAATATCCATAAAAAATACATCTTAAATGAGTATTCGGACAATCCCGATATCCGTTCCTATACGTATTATTTTACATTTATTATTATTATCATCATTATAAATAAAATAAATGAATGTCCTGTGAATTTTTCTTCATAATATTTTTGATACGCATTTCTAGATTAAATCACATTTCATTTTATTTCCAATCAATAAATGTTATTATCTAAAATGCACGAAACTCAAAAAGGAGACCATATAATTCATTAAATGTAAGTAACGCGTATTTTCTCATCTAATTGAAACCATCCAATGAGAATCCTTGAATGAAACAGTTAAAGTATTTAACAAGATGCTAAAACGTTAAACGATATTTATATGACTTGGTATGAATATTTGAATATAATTGTTTGAGATTTTTAAATAAAAGATAAGGTTTTAGTTCGGGTATTACACAATTTTAGATATATAAATATATATTATATAACGATAAATATATGGATAATATGTTTCTGCGATGTTTTTAAAACCCGTTTTAGCATAAAACTGTATCAGTCAAAATTTTAAATTTCAAGTTACTGAACCCTTAATTAGGGTCTGAAATGTACCGGTATTTCAAGTCCGGTCCGGGAAGAAAGCCCGGTATTGCGGATCGGACTGTTCTATGGAGAATGTCGACCATTTGAGAATGAATTGAAATTTAAACAAATAATTAATAATTTAGTTACACAAATTCTGCTATCTTTTATTGTCAGAATACGTAAAATATGTTACATTTGATAATTTAATGAAAGATGTACCTGTATGATTTATTTGATAATTTAAAATAAAGGTTGTACTCGTATCAGAGGGGTGCCCTTATGTCAAGGAAATCCCGGGCTGAAGATCGCTGAAGATCACTTCCGACCCTATCCGGATCCAATAAAATCACAGGATATTGTGTAACAAAACAAACGTGAAAAACATAAGAAATTGTAAAAAAAACGTAAATAACACAAAAATTTACTATGATATCTAACTTCCGACCACTAAGTAAAAGTTTTCAGAATGAAATTTTACTTATAGTACACAATTGTTAATGTTAGACATATAGTGAATTTTTGAGATACTACGACCATATTTTTTTGGCCGGCAGCTCGGAATTTCCTTGACATAAGGACTTTCAACGCAACGGCTATGTCGATCATCTACCAAAAATGGGTTTCCCGGGATCACGTTTCACGGCTCACACTATGCAGTTATTGTGCATTAAGGAATCCAAGTTTCTGTAAAGATAATACTTAGCTTTCCTATATTTATTGTGATTAAAACTATTTATAAATAAATATATCGTTATCATATGTTTGTTGAAATTGTTCACCGGCTGTATTCGTTATTTATATTTGAAATTCAAGTCAAAAACCGAAAAAGAACACGAGTTTGAGTTTCTATTATGGAAAGTTGAATACAATGATGTAATGTAGCACCAAAGCTAGCTAGAAATACTTGTTTTTGAGGGTTCATTCCAATTCAAGATTTGCCTTTTTTTGTAGCACACGCATATAAAATTAAATAAATTCTATACAAATGGTTAAGGTACGATTCCCCGAAAACTACTTATCCTAAAGTCTATTTACTCGACATCACATGAGATGAAAATTTACTAATAAAATATACCTATAGCTAATTAAATGCTAAATTGTCACCCTATGTGATATCGGGTAAATGGACTGTCGGGTAAGTAGTTTTTGGGAATTGAGCGACAACCATACAAATAGTATACTATACGAATTTATCGTAATCATATCGATATATGGGAAATGACATTAAAATTATTTGAACAACTTTCACAAGACTTTACACAACTTTTAGAAAGTGAATACGATTATAATGTAGTAATTAAAGTTGGAGAACAACCAAATATTCAACTTTTTAAAGCACATTCAGCAATCTTGTACCAACGATCTTTATACTTTCGTCAAAAATTTGTAAATGCAAATAAAAATAATAATATAATTGAAATTAAATTATCTCATGTTTCTGTTGAAGTATTTAATATTATTATCAAGTAAGTTATACGTAATATAATATTATAATTATCAAATATATACTTATTATATTTTTATCGATAGATATATTTATGGAGGAGAAGTTTCTTTAGAAAAATGTCAAGTTTCGGCAACATTCGATTTATTGGTCGTTGCTAATGAGTTTAAGCTTATAAAATTAGTTGAATGCCTTCAGTCTCATCTTATTGATAATAATCCATCTTGGCTTCGTTTAAATTTTTCTCGTATCTATCAAATTAGCTTTCTTAACGAAAATTTTGGTCCTTTACAACAATTTTGCAATGAAATTCTTGCAAAATATCCAAGCATGATTTTTGATTCTGATGATTTTATCACTCTCCAAAAGAATGCTTTAATTGCTCTTTTAAAGAATGATAATTTACAAATTGATGAATCGGAACTTTGGGATAAAGTCATTTTATGGGGAAAAGCGAATACTCCTAATTTACCATCTAACATTAAAGAGTGGACTAATGAAAATTTTAAGTCTTTAAAAGCTACCCTTCAACATTGTCTTCCTCATATTAGATACTTTCATATTCCTGGTGAAGATGTCTTAAATAAAATTAAACCTTATCGTAATATTCTTGAAGAGAATTTATGGGATGATATTATGACAAAATTTGTAGCTCCAAATATGTCTATCACATCATTAGTTTTACCATCACGCAAAAAAGAAAATGTACAACTTCCACCTCGAAAAGCATCTATTATTAAACCATCATCTACTGTAATCACATTACAGCATGTAGCGGAGATTACATCATGGATTGATCGATGTCCAACAATTTATGATACTACTAATATTCCATATAAATTTAAACTTTTACTAAGAGGCAGTAGGGATGGATTCACAGGTGAAGTATTTCATAAATTATGTGATAATATACCTGGTACTGTAGTTGTAGTAAAGATTAATGACACAAATGAAATACTTGGTGGTTATAATCCTCTTATCTGGAAAATTGACAATTGGGTTTATGCCGAAACAGCTGATAGCTTTATTTTTTCCTTGAAAAATGGAAACATAAATCAATCAATTCTTAGTCGTGTAATTGATGCATCAAAAGCAATTTATTACGGTGGCGAACAACATGGTCCATGGTTTAGTGGTTATGACTTTGGAATGGGAAAATATAAAAACCTTAATCCTAAAGAATGGTTTTATAATAACATTTACTATGAGAAACAACTCAGAAGTACAGATGAATGGTTTTTTATAGATGAGTATGAAGTTTTTCAAATTTGTAAAAATACTTAACGGATCCATTGCTAATTAAATACATATGAATAAAAAAAGTATCTGGTTAGCTGAATTCATAGTATTCGTCTCTTTTAAGTTGTTAATATAGTATTTTAATCTATTATTTTTGCTAAAAGAGGCCAATTTTAGACACTTATGTATAATGGCTCTAAATGGATCCATTTGAAAGAATAGAGCATCATTATATATATAAAATTTTGCTGTACCGGGATCTTTTACAATATCATCTATACTGCATGAGATATAATTCTTCTGAACTCAATTAAATACTCATTATTATTAGCTGATCAATAATCTTAATATCGAAATTATTATTATTTCTTAGCAACGCTTATGCCTAAAAAGATAGACACTATATTTGTGATCGTGAAAAAGATTGAAAACTTTTAGATACTGGATCAGAAAGATAAAATAGTCTATACCATATCGAGGCAAGTTTAACTATTAGTAACTAATTTTATATGTTAAGACATCTAAATAATATTCGATAACAAAACAATGTATCTTCTATTAGCATTTTCATCTTGGCCGATTTCGATAAATTGATATTTTATACTTTTTAAGAATCTTTTTAGCAGCATTTCCTACCTTTACTGTTTTTTAACGTTAAATTATGTATGACCCAGTTTAAACGATTTTTTTTACTAGTTATGTTATAATAAACTTCTATTAATTTACATATAAGTATTCATTATATTACAATTGTAAAAAAAAAACAAAAATGCTATGGACGCTAAAAACATGATTAACGATATAAATTTCTGATATGATCAAAATCTCAATATCGAGATAGCTTTTATCACTTATTAATAGCATCAGTATATCATGTGTATGAATGTGGAAAAGGTTGGAAACTTTCAAATTACAGAGCAAAATGATAAAATATTTGATACCATCGAGGCAAGTTTAAATATTGTTAATTAATTTCATGGCGTGCGAAAAAAATATTATTTATTTTATAAAATGTGAAACTTTTAATAATTTTGAAGCCCTCATTATTGAAATCA